ATTATAATCATCAAATCTACCAACCATATTGACCCATCTTAGAATATCACCTTTTAATAAATCAAAGCGATAATAAATATATACAGATCATAGTAGTTATATCAGGATTAAGAATATATTTACATTTAATAGTTTTGGAAGCAACTATCTCTACTCTGTCCCGTTCAATATATACAAAATGTACTAGCACAAGAAGCTGGAACTATAAAATTTCAATAATCAAGATAAACTACATATAATCTTGTGTTACAATCGTGCCGATGACATGTCCAATTTCCATCTTAGATTGTGTACAAAAACTTTATACTTCTAAGAACCGATGATTTAATCCTCTGTCTCCCATATAGACTTTTAACCATCACGATTGTTATAATGTACTATAACTAAATACATGGTTAATAGTACATACCCTAACAATCTCGTACTAAGATATTTAATCTTGAAAACTATTAGAATACTATTTCGAAAGTCATGATTAATAGTATATACCCTAACAATCTCTCACTTAGACTGTCAACAATGCATTTACAACTTTCACAGATATTCCTGTTATATTTCTTATCCAAAAGATCTTACTAAGTTGTTTTCTTATGCAACTTCGTCTAGTAGTGCTTCGTCGTAAGTTATAGATTTTGTATTAGATTTTCAAAGGCCCTATCATGAAACCCTTCAAAAGTTTACTTATTTTCAGGAGTTCTATCATTAAAATCCTCTTAAACATACAAAACCAATCAATCTTCGTTATGATTCTCCAACTACGACTAAGTACTACTACAATAGTTACACTTTCAATCTTTTTCATGTAGTGTTCTTTAATTTTTCCAACATCACTCTCACTACTTGAGGTAGTAGTTTTCTTATGTCTAGTAATGTTTCTCCCACTGCTTAAATGAAATAAAACATCAAATCTCACATACCAGTTAGATGTTCTTGAGCGTCTGAATTTACAAACTCATATGTTATTTCGTTGTTCAGTTCCTGTAAAACTAATTTACTTCTAGGAACATGGATTACTAAATAGTCTTTTTCTAGAAATATGACAGTAGTCTGAACAATTGCCTTATTTTCTTTAGGACAATGAAATAAACCTTCTTTCATTGTTTTTGGATATCCAACTAACACACACATTTCATTCCTGATTTGAGAGGAATTGAATTCAAATGTGATATGTAGTTCTTAGAACATTTATCAAAAGAAACAAAACAACAACGAACAAGCTAGTAATTAATCTTATCATCTTCATAAGAGTCTATATCTTTTCTCTTTTACACCAATTTATTATAAAGTGTCTGGTGCAGACAATTGAAATGAAATTATTCTATCAAATAAGTTACTCATTAGCTCTGCCGAAAGGTATACATCACTAGAATCAGACTGCAGTGATTTTAGATATTTTACATGATGTTATTTTCATTTGTCTTAAACTATTTTGAGTTTATCAACACATTTAGACTTAAAAAACATCAAAAATATATATTCATATCATGCGTAACTTTCTAAAAATTTCATAATACTCAAATTTACCTCTTGCCTGAGTGATCATTTACTGCACAAATCAGAATAGATTAATTCTAACTTATCACTACCTTTATTTCCTATTTTTGAGGAAATGTCTATTAGTCATTTTTCTTTCTAAACATGACTCACATGTTGGTAGTTACTTCACTTTCAATGAACCGCTATGTCCATTCTTTAACGAACCTCAAAGTTCTGTCCAGAATAAATGACGTTGACTCTCCAATCATATTACTCAGTTTAGGAAAGTTAATACAAATTATCAAAACTAGCGATTAAATACATAATGACTTGTATTAATTTCATCTGATATGGAGGAAGGTCTACACCAATATATGAAACTAATACTTCACAACTATATAATATTGGTAATCAAGGGAGGGACCCCTATAATAAAATATGACCAAAAACTCATATAACGATAAAAAAAGAAATATTTCTTACTACGTCGTTTTAAAGAATTTACAAAATTTCAAATCAATCATAGTTTTTTTTTTCAAATTCCAAAACTATGATCAATTTGATTAAAAACTGTATTTGGTCAAGATAAAATTTAATTTTTTTCCGTTAGAAAATTCTTGTCACATATGAGCATTTGTGAAATAGGTATACGAATCAAGAACAAAGAACAAAATTCTAAAACTTTACATTATCTAAATACTATTTCTCAAAAATCAGCATATTTATGTATACATTGAACATTATAATTCAAAACACATCTCATGGATATCCATGCATCTTAAACAACAAATTTTGATGAAAAAAAACTACTCAAGCAACATACATATGTGATGTCAGATATTCACTTCAACAAATATTCAACAAAAGCTAACTCAGATGGAGAGTACTATATGTTTATTTATGCAATATCGTTATCCCTAGATCATTGATCCAGTCAAATATTACTCAGATAGGGAGTTTCAATACAGATCATTAAAACTAGAGATTAAATTTTAATGACTTGTATTAATTTCATTTGATATGGAGGAAGGTCTAAGCTAACACATGAACTTAATCCTTCACTACAATTTAGTTATGAAGAACATAGAGAAAAATCTCTATCAAAATTATATGATAGGTAAGTAATTTTCATTAAAATTAATTTTCAAGATACAAGAAATTTTTTATCCAAAAACATTATCTGAACGACCTGAAATTACAAATCGTTGTATAACAATGAGTGTTCTTAATTTAATTGTTTGTGATGAACCTACCAAATTTCAGATCAATCAGAGTTTAAAAATGTAACGTCCCGAGAGCACCCCCTAGTCGTTACTGACGTATTCAACCTCTCAGAGGTCTTATACAAGCCCTTATCATTCGTCATAACATTTATCACAGAAAAATAGCAGAAAATTTAAAACTTTTTCATAATATAACACAAGACATAAAAGTCACCTCATTAAACCTTTAATACAAAATTGGAATACTACATCTCAAGGTAGCCATCTTAAAACATGACTACAACACAAGAGGGACACATCCCTTACAATACAAAAGAAACTACTATCTAGTACATAGAACTTAAGGAAACTCTTTAACATAAAGGTCCTTGAATCTTTAAGGACACACCCGAACTTCGGAATAGTAAGGCAAGCTCATCACTTCTAGGAAAGACCCTTTAGTCACCATCACCTACACTTGGTGTAAAAAGATGAAGAAGAATGGTGTTAGTGCAAGAATGCACTAAGTATGATAACCATGCAAAACATGCTCTTAAAAGGACATTTAGTTGGAAACCATGCATCATGCCTTTTCTTGAGAAACTTCAAGAACATTTAGTACATTAGGCACAATATAAACCACATACATCATCATACATATGGAAACCATTCATAATAGCACATAGAGCCACTTATAACATTTTAGGCACATTCAATGCATACAATACATTACCTTCCTCTTTATCTTAACTCCTTTCCTCAAGTAACCCTAAGGGAATACCTAGTGCAATGTATCGCCTTAAGGTTACCAGAGGTGAACTTACATATAGCCTTCATCAATCCAACCACATATATTCATAGAGTCATAAGCACACCATAAGACATAGTCTTCACATAGGAACCATCACCAAAAACAACCCCCAAATCACACTAGTGCAATATGCAAGTAGCATCCCATAATACTACTCACACCAAGCGTTCCTAGGAAGCCACCATAGACTAGGCACATCATATTCAACAAGTCATAACATCTTCATTTAGACATAAGACCAACATAGTTCATAACATCATATAAGGACTCATTCCTTTACTACATCATTAGTCATAACCCATTTAGTTCATATCATAGGTAAACCACCCTCACAACCCCTTCACAAACTCACTTGTGCAATGTACACATGGAGTCCCATACCCCCCACATATACAAAGCAAGCCCATTAAGAAGTCATAAGTGTAATTTACATGCATAATCATACTTCATGTCCTAACATAAGTAAAGTCAACCTTAACATGCTTTCATATTAACATACATAGACAATAGTCTTCATTACATAAAGAGCCTAATCATAACCTCCCTTAGAGTACACTTGTGCAATGCATAAGTAGGGTCCATAGTCCTACCTACACTAAGTAACTCTTCAAGAAATCATGACTAGAGTTCATAATCTTATCTTAGTTCATTTCTTAACTTTCGGGAGACATTGCCATAACCGACATAGAGCATGTGAGCTACATGGAATCCGGTGTTCTACTCCCACACCGAAAAGAGAGGTACTACTTGCTAAAGTAGGACCTTCATACATAATAGCTATCTAGTGGATCCACTAAGCTAATACCTACGGGGGCATGTAGTTATGGAACAAGGAGATTGCTACTAGAAAACCTTGACTTACTAAGCGTGGAGGTTTCCATCTCATGAGACAACATCTATGTTAGGAACCCGAACTTGCTAAACGTGAAGGTTCTCTTGTGGGAAGCCGGACTTGCTAAACGTGAACCCCACTCTCATTTTTCATGTTCACTCGGTGCGAAGCTCCAACTCCCTTTTAAACATCTTTAAGCCTTTATTTAACATTAGTTCATAAAGTAGGCTTTAGGGACTTAATCCCTCATACCATATAGCTCATAGGTTTCTAAGATGAGAATGACCTTTCATCATAGAACCTACATTATGTGAGAATGACCTTTCACATTGTCATACCATATTCATAACATAGTCTAGTTTAGAGTACAATTGAGGAAACCTTTCAAGAGACTCACTTTCACTAGATTATCATAAACCTTATTCATTCATTCATGTGTGTACATATGTGAGAAAGCCTTTCACATAACACTACAAGAAAATGACTTAATAGGTACCAGTATTTAACGACAGGATAAAAATATGGTCCTGAAAACTATATTTAAAGCGTCGAGATTTATTTCCGGTCCCTAAATTTCAATTTTATATCTTTAGTTAGCGAAAGGAATAAATGTGGTCCATATACTAATGAACAACTGGTCCCTAGTGCTCTAAATTGTGCGGGATAAGTAGAGTCAATATAATGACCACTAAAAGAATTAAAAATAATATAAAAGTAAAGATTTGTTTATTTTATGACATTCAGTCCCATCGTCTCTCCAAAACCCTAAGACCTCCCCTTTTTCATACCAAAGCTTCTATCTATGCTATTCCAATGACATTTTTTCACTAGTTCTGTCAATTAAACTAATGATTTGTTTCGCCCATTACTAATTTATGTCGTTGTGTTCTGTTTTATTCACTTCCTATTTTCCTAATCATAATACAGTTTATTTTCTACTTATACGCAATACCCGTTTTTTTCTCAAGAGGGAAAGTAGGTGGTTGGGTCTTTCTTTGTGGGTGTTTTTCAGTTAGATTTGGTACATGTCACAAGAAACAGAGTTTTCATAGATCAGAGGGAATTGTATTTTATTTTTCGAAAATTTATGGAATGATGGAAAATGGGTGTTAAATGATAGAATGAGGACATTATTATATGAGAAGGGAGTGAAACAAATTCCGCTCTCTAAGCATCAATTCGTCCCCCTGTTAGGATCTACGGTATGTTTTCATGGCTTCTAATTTTCTTGGGTAACTTTGTTCATTTTTTATGGTTTCCTTTATCTCGATATGCTGTTATATAGGTGATGGATTGTATTAGCTCCCACCAATAAAAGTAACAGAGAATGCTGAACATTTTTATATGTGATTGTGTGCCTTACCATCTATTCTTTGTTGTCAATATGATTGGTAAAAAATGGATATTTATACTTCGAGAGATCTATTCTTTGAGGATTAAGTATGAGTTTACAGATAATATGTTTCCTACTGGCTTACAAAATATTTGTGTGAAGAACGAATTGAGATATAGTTATGTTTTAGTCATTTAAACATGAGCTTGTTGGTTGTTTACTTTCTTAGATTCTCACTTTAGATATGAATTTTATTTAAGTTTTAGTTCATTTTTATTTGAAATATCAACTTGACATTTCCATTTATGTTTAGTCTACATGTTCTATGCCTCAGAGCATATGTCTTTAAGTTTGAAACTTGTCGTTTTGTGTCAATTAATTAAAGGATAAGGCACAAGTATCCCCTAGACTATGAGTGGAATCCCAAAGACACATCTTAACTAAACTAAGATCCCAAATGGTGCAAAACTTGTATATAGAAAGTTGATAAAAAATAGCAGTTACACTTACATTAGTGATACTCCTAAATGGTGCAAAACTTTTAGGAAAAAGTACAGATTTTGTCCCAAAGAAAGAGTATCATACCATGTTAAGGGGTAACTATTGGGCTGGCTCAGCTCAAAAATTGGGAGGTTCTTAAGACTCCGTGATAGGAGAAGCTGATAGGGGAATGTCAACCAACGACTTAGAGGTTGTTAAGACTTCACGTATTGAAAGATGTAGTTTAATGAATCAGAAAGCTAATAAGAGCTAGAAACTTAATGGAGAAAACACTAATAAATTTCCCTCACCTTTGTAGTCTGTAGACTAGTTGTAATCCGAAAATTTACTAGTTTAGTGCATCAGTAATTCTAACTCTGCAAGTATGTGCTCTGGGCACTTGTTCTTAATATATCTCATGAGTTGTGATTTACTTAGAGTTTCTCTATTTTGTTGTGTTTGGAACTGTGTTTGTTCCATCAATGCACTTGCTTTGTCTGCACCAGTTCACATGATATTCAATGTCGTGATTTTAAACTTTTGCTGATATAAATAAATTTTATATGATTACCATTAGGTCGGTCTCTTGGAACCTCTGTGATTTTTGTTTGTGAATTATTCCCACATTATAAGCATTCTAACACATAATATGTTATCAGATGCTCAGTTAGATCTTGAATTAAGTTGATTCTGATTTCTTATGTATCTACTGATTGGGAATGTACATAACCTCTTTACATGGATACATTTAATCAATTGCTTCTAGTTCAATTAAACTTGAGCTTATATAAGCTGCCAAGAAAGACATAGAAATTGACTAGGGTATCTTGTGGTGGTGTATGAAAACCTTGAATAGCATTTTCTTTCTCATTCTTCTTTTTCCAAACTTCTTCTCATCCACTTGTTCATCCAAGCAATTCAGAAATGCACTAGTTGCTCATATTGAAGTAACTTAAGATGATGAGAAATGCAAGAGTAACTTTGGCAAACTAAACTGTGGCAAAATTAATATCTTTGCTTCATTTTCAGCTATTTTTTTTGTACTGCTATCATTCAGCATTCAAATTTTTCATATCATGGAATATCACCCTACATTTTTCTGTTCATTCTTGCTCAAGGATAGCTGCTTGATATGGACTTCTATCCTTCCCATCTTAAGCTCCAACGTCTACTCCAATCGAATTTTTCCATGTATTTTTCTTCTGTTGTTCTCTTTCTAAGGTGTTTCTTTGATCTCTACTACTTATCATAGATAAAGTATTGTTTCTTTCTATACAACTTTCATGATTGGAAACTGATTTGGAAATAAATAATAATATATTGAATTGGTTATTATATGTTAATTAAATTGAATGACATGTAGTACCCATCTTAGAATGATATTTCTTTTAGTCTTGAAGGAGAGAAATATGTAGTGTGCACTGTGCACTTCAGTTCATGATATTATTAGTCTATGCTCATTTAATGATCAATAACAATTTAGTTTAGAGTTCTCAAAACTAAATAACTTTAGTTTGAATACTTCTTTAACCTTGTTCCTTTCCTTCAGTCATAATTTCCCATGTTAAAGAAATATTCTAAAAGTTTAGAGAAAGAAACAATAGGTCATGGTGATGAAAAGAACAATTATAACTTTTTTCTCCTTTCCTCTTTTGTTTTCCCCTGGTGCTTGTTCATCTCACTAAGCTTCTTGTTCCTTTTCCATGTCATTCCTTATCTTTTTATCGCTTTCAATCTTATACATGGTAGTCGAATATTAGCAGTTAGTTTATCAAATTGTTTTCTTTTCTTTCTGAAATATACTCAATCAATGCCTGTTGAAGAGTAACTATCTGGGAATCAAAATGTTGGATTGTAATATCTTATTTCATATCTATATTGAAATATATAGTGTGATTTGGTTATGTGCATTATTCTTTTTTATAAGCAGATTTATTTTGTACATTTCACAGGTTTTGGAAATTTTCATTTACAAGTCGGGATGCAAGTTTGAAGACTTTGAACAAGATTTGTCAAATTGGTCATCCTTTCGCTTGGATAGTTCGCTAAATATCTCATTATATATTTAGAGATGTTCGTTTTTTTGGCTAATGAGTTGTGTAAATAGTATTGTGACCATATTTTTGCAAACAATACTCCATGTGGGATGTTAATTTGTAGTTTTAAGTAATACGATTGATAATTTTGTTTATATGCATTTGTTTATCGAAATTTAAAATTTTATAGTATCTTAGGAAAACATGACAGGGAAAGAATGTATCGATTGGTTTTCCTATATAAATTCACATCTAGGGACCACTATTGCTTTAGTCCTTAACTCTTTAAGAACCGGATTTTTGGTCCTTAAAGGTTTTAAGGACAACTTAAGCTTTTCTGGAAATGTTTGTTTAAGGACCAGAAATGTGGTCCTTATAAGTTTTTAGGGACTAGAATTATACCTGTCGCAAACGAGTTTTAGGGACCAGTACTTAAATCTCGTCCCGATTGACCTTTAGCGACGAAGACGATAGGGACGGGATTTGCCCGTCGTTATTGACTTTTAGGGACTAGAATGGAACTTTTAAGGACCATTTTTCTCGTCCCTAGTAGACCTTTTTCTTGTAGTGTAAATACCTTTATACAACACATATTCATACCTTGCTAACCATACACTTTGCATGCATAATAAGATGTAAGGGTGCATATAAGAGTTAACCTTTCAATAGACACCATAACACATCATATTCATAGCTATACATCTAGAGTGTGTGTGTGCACATATTGGTCCTCATAGTGACATATTAGCAACAACATTGATATTGAGTGTTCTACCCTTAAAAGGATCACAACACATTCACAATGTCCCTAATTCATGAGCAATTCACATATAAAGCCTTGAGGGATTCTAGACCACACACCCACACTTCATCATAGGAGACAAGGACACATACAACATTGAATAGGTACTCCTAACATGTAAATAATCAAACATTCATATAGGGGTCATATAGGTAGGGGTCATTCCACAATAGTAACTAACATAATCAATCATGTAGACCACACCTTATCCCAAACATTATCATTCACATTATACTCCTCATCATCAACACACTTTAAACATCATCCTAGCATTAAGGATTTCATACATAACCTTCATAGCATAACTTCATAAACATATGCATCATAATCATCAATTCACTTCACATCTATTGCCTTCAAGCCCATGATCTCAACATGCGTATTAGGAATCAACAATGTAATTCAATAACATAAACACAATCTAAGTACAATTCTATAAACAAAGGGATCAACCCATAACTTTGCCCATAAGGCCATAATTCTCAACTCATCAATATACCAACAATTCAACATGAATAAGTATAGATAATCATAGGAAACATCAATACAATCTAATCTAAACATAATTTCACCAATAGAGATCATATCCACAAAGACCCACATCATAGGCCAACTTTCGAGAATTTGGGGATCATGGGTTCTTTAAGAATTCCTTTGAAAATTATTTTTAAAACCTTAATTCCACATTTATTCATCAATAGAATGATTTAGAAAATCGTTTGACAAGGAAGCCATGTTTAGATTGAAAATTGGGAATTTCGGTCTTTGAATCACTTTTGAAAATCTTTTGATAGAACTCCTTGAATGAGAGGTTATTCAAGAATCAAGAGTCATCATACCTTAATTATTGAAGACCCATGAAATTGAAGAAGAAATCAGTTGAAAACCCATCTTCTAGCTTGAGCTTCATCAAGGTCTTCAATGGAGTTTTTGAGAGAATCTATTTTGAGAGGGAACGGTCAATTTGAAGAATGGGTCTAATTTTAGGTTTTGGGGTTTCAACCAACCTAAAATACCCTAAAATTTGTATTATAACCATTTATAATAATTTCCCAAAGTACCCAAACTACCCCTCACTTAGTTGGACCTGTTTAAACAAGTCAAACTTGAGTTTTATTTTCCTAGATTTCATCGGGAAAGAAGTTCGCGATGCGGAGGTGTTCCCACAAGTTTTCTGGAAATTAAATTCGAGACACTAGAGTCCGCGATATGGACCAAAATTTTTGGCTCTTGGTGGAGCTAGTCCGCGACGTGGATATGCTCCCTCCAAGCACAATCTCAAGCTGCCTTGGCAGCTTGCTTGGCCAAGGTTGGGGTCCTCTTCGGGGACCCTTAGGGTGGCCCCCGGTGAGTCGTATCCTAACATTTTGATCCTAAAAACATTTATTAAGACACTAGGGTCACCTCCACTGATTTTATACTCCAAACAACACATAAAAACATGAACAACATACTAGAACACACCAACACGTAAAAGACTAGTTTCCGAACGTCTTGGTCGTCCCTTGACGTTTGACTTCCAAACTCTTTAAAACTTACTTAAAAGGCTATTCTTCATTATTTTGACAAGTTATTAATGCATAAAACGCATGTGAGGCTCTACTTTATCCTACTTTATTTTGAGGGTCGTTACAAAAAATAACATTTAAATCCCAAGGTATGATCAAATTCAGATTGAAACGATTTAAGAAAAACAATCAGATCCATATCATTATCATATATCAATGCATGTAATCATGTACCAGATTCAACATAAGTAAAACTGCTATGAAGGATTATATTCATACTAAATCACATTTTATTCCAAAGAGCGACTTAAAAACTATTTTAAGGGCCTCAAAACTATAACGACATAGCAATGAGTTTTTCTTACTAGTCCGTCACCACAAAACTTACCAAATTTCAGGTCAATAGGAGTCTATAAAAAAAATTCCAAAGCTATGACAAAATTCAAATTCAAGTGGTTTAAGTATCTTTAGGAATTAAAACAATGTGACTTTATCATATTCAGATCAAATTTTAATCCGACAAACTACCTAAAACCCATCTAAATAATTTTGGATGGAACCATCAAATTTCAAGTCATTCAGTTATCAAAAAACTCATGACCACCTAAACTATGATCAAATTTGGAAAATAATCATTTTAGACATAGTTAATGATTAAAATAACATGATTCAGATTTTTATTCTCATTTTAGAATTATCTCATGAGCGTGAAACATATGTTGTGTCCTTCCTTTGGCTAAGACGGTATGGTGCGTCTTAGCCAAAGGAAGGACACAACATATGTATTACCTATTTATTAATCATAATAAATAGATCATTTTAGTGAAACCTATTTATTAATCATAATTCTCAATTCATGTATTACAAAATATATTACCATATGTATATAATCTAAAGAATTTTCAACGATTTCAAATAAATAAAGAACTTAAATGATAACTATTTATCAACCAAAAAATTCTTAATTTATAATATTTTTTTTATATATATATATATGTAATGAATAATATGCTCAAATAATTATTGAACAAAAGAAAAAAATAATCCAATTGACCTGAATAGTGACTGCTACAACCACTTAATAATGTTTGAAGTCAACAATTAGTCAAGAATAAATTTTATAAAGTTAAAAAAATACTTCACAATCAGTTCAATGATAATTTGTTCGTCAACAACCTCTATGATTCCCTTTCTTATCTAGCTTTGCAAATTTGATGGATTAATAAGAAACAACCCTTAAAAAATTGCAACTAGTCGGCGATAAAATAAAATCAATTACATGTGCAGAAGTTCTTACTTTCATTTATTAAATAAAAAAATCCATTGAACTTCAACTTTTCTTTTAACTGATGAAAAGTTTTCAATTTGGGTTCCATTAATTTAAACATAAAAGACTTCGAATAATCATTAGGCAAGTGTTTGTTATTGCTGTACATTCCCACGTGAATGTGAAAAACTGTCGCCAACAGGTTTTTCCCTCTTGATCATCTCACAATTTAAGAACGTATGTACTTTAGCCAATGAATCAACAAACTTCAAGTTTCATCTGATTCGTTCTTGTCGTGATAAAAATAAATTTACTAAATACAAATCATACATACAATTGAACATACATATATTTTATGTTATCTATAAAGATGTAAGTATGACTCTAATACCAATTATTGGAAAACGATATGCACAACGGAAGTATACCAGAATCATACTACTTACATGAATAATAGACAACACATAATTTATGCTAAAACACATAAACTTTCTGAAATTTGATTCAAGATTTACCTCTTGAAGTAAGCAGATAACTTCAAGCGAATCCACATGCTAGTTCACAAACTGGACGACAGTTATGTGGTCTTCGACAGTGATCCCAACTTCACTTCAGAACTCTCAATACTTGGGTGGGCAAGTATCATATAGAAATCTTCCTCCTTTCAAGGGTTAGGAGAATCTCTATTTATAGAGATTTCTTCCTAGTCCAAGATGGAGAAGGAATACCATGTCTTTCATTAGAATAGAAAAAGACATGTACATCTCCCTTTCCTTAGAATAGAAAAAGTCATGTACTTCTCCCTTTCTTTAGAATAGAAAAATCATATACTTCTCCATTTCCTTAGAATAAAAAAAGTCATATACTTCTCCCTTTCCTTACAATAGAGAAAGACACATACTTCTCATTTTTCCCTTTAGAATAAATTCTGAGTTCTAGTTAAATATGGGCAAACTAGGGACCACAAAATTAATTAATGATGCTTCCTACTATGGAAATAATTTCAAATAATTAATTTGAATATTTTTTACCATAATAAATTACAAATCATTCAAATAGAAATTGGTATTTGCACTCATCTATTTTTATTTTCGAAATTCCCTATTATACACATGTAATTCCCCATGTTAAGATTACACATACTAATCAATAAATTAAAGTAGTGACAAATTTAATTCAATGATCAATTTCTTTTAGAGCACTACTTAACTTATTTCATGTGTCGGATTCATAAATCCACTTGCAAGGTTCGACACGATGAAAACTTATAATCTTCTCATAAAGACATATCATCAATCTCCATATCAAGACATGAATTCCGTCAACTAACTTATTATTTCACCAATATATATTATTATCATCCAATCTATCAGGCATATTGACCCATTTTAGAATCTCACATTTTAATAAATCAAAATGATAATTAACATTTAAAGATCATATTAGCTATATCAGGATTAAGAATATAAGTTTATTTAATGGTTCAGAAAATATGGTTTTGTCAGTCAGTCTAAAGAAACAATCTCTACTTGGTCCCGTTCAATACATACAACATGCACTAGCACAAGAAGTTGAAAC